AAGTGTCTGTCCTCAGTGGAAGATGTGCTTTTGGGACATCAGGAATTCTTCTAAAACGCAGACAATTAACACAGCTGGGAGAGACTGCTTTGCTTGTTCAGAAATCTGCGCTGCCTGCTCGGCTGTCTTAAACGATTGTTAAGGTCTAAGAATTTGATCCTGCAGGAAGAACGCCCTCTGTGACTTCAACAGAGCCTCTGAGCCATCAGGTCAGGCGGAGGGGGAGGGGCTACGGCTTGGGCGGGAAAGGGATAGAGGTGGGTTCAGCCTTGAGGTTGCTGAGCCGCCTCAGGAAGCGGCTGCCTCCGCTGCAGGGGGTGGAAGCCGGCAGGAGACAGCTTGTCTGTAAGGACTTCTCGTCCTGCCAAGGACAGCAGGCTTGCCTGGAAGTTCAGTGTGGGTGGGTGGTGGTAGGTCCCCAGCTTAGAGATGAAGAGACCAAGGTTGGGGCAGGAGCGCTTTGCAAGGTAAGGTTGGGGCAGGAGTGCTTTGCAAGGTAAGGTTGGGGCAGGAACGCTTTGCAAGGTAAGGAAAAGCCAGGACGGGACTCAGGCTACTTCGGAGTCCAAGGTGGGTGCCCGCCGGTGTGCTCTGCTGCCTGCTGCACTTGCCCGCAGATGCAGATGCCAACGCGAGGACTGGGCCAGAGCCCAGGCAGGCTTCAGGCCAGGAGATTTCTTGAAGCCCAACAGAACTCTTGCTTTAGCACCAGAGAGTGCATATTTTCAACTTGCTAGATCCTATGGTCTCTGTCTCATCTCTGTCACTTTAGCACAAAAGCAGCCCAAGGTAATTCATACATGGCCTGGCTGTGTTCCAAGAAAACTTTATTTATAAGAATAGCCAAAGGCCATATTTGGCTCTTGGGGTGGAATGTGCCAACCCTGTTTTAGAATCTCCAGCTTATCTGGACAGCTTCACATGAATTTCACCTTCATGTAATGACATGTTCAAATTTAATGCAAAATGAAGTTTTACAGCGTGTGGCATCAGAAGAGCTGTGCCCCATCCCTCCACGCTGCAGCCGTCGCGTGTGGCAGCGCAGTGCATCGCTCGCGTGCTTTGTGCTGATGGTGGTGTGTGCACTCGGCCAAGCTGCCCACCGTACAGAGAGGTAGCCTGGACGCCCGCCCGCGCTACCTGACCACAACATGGCACGCGCTCCTGGCCCAGGCGCTCACACCCCACGCTTCGCGTGGTACAGTGCATGCCCACTATTAAAGAGGTCTACTCTAAGGAAGCATGTCAGTGATGTGGCTGGCAGCCGCACGATCTCCTGTACACTGCGACTGCATGAAGAGGGTGCCTCCCAGGTGGGGCGTGGTGGTGCTCACCTGTGCTCCTAGAACTCCAAGAGGCCGAGGCAGGAGGTTTGGGCCTACCCTGAGCAACTTAGTGAGAGCCCGTCTCAAAATTTTTTAAAAAGGCTGGGATGTAGCTCATTGAGAAGCCCTGGGCTCAATCCCCAGTACCAGTAACACACACACACACACACACTTCGAAGAGCTGCCTTCCCAGAGGCCCTCTTCGCCCTCTGCTTGGCCTCGCTAGCCAGCTACAACAGATCCCAGAGCCACCACTCGCACTTCCTGTCCAGACCAATTGAGCTGAGAGGATGTGTTACGCTGAGCCTGGCAGTGTGCCGCGCTGTGGACATGACCAGCCCACAGCAGCTGCGGCGGCACTGGTCTGAGACACTCACACCACAGCGCTGCCAACCGATGTCCTTGGCAGACCATCCCCCATGCTTGAGGGGGAATGATTACAGAGCCTCCAGCTCTCCCCGCACTGCGCTGTGCATGCCTGCGCCCCAGCCATCCGGTCCTGGAAAGAAGTACAGTAACTCCACGTGCCACCCACTGGGGCCGCGGCCTGGCACGGCAGCACGTGCAACTGGGCCCCAGCCCACTGCATAGGTGTGTCCACACTCACTCTGCAGCAGCACCCAGAGTGCAAGCCAAGGTGAGGCCAGGGTTGGCAGATCAAGTGTGTGACCATGCACGGACATCCAAGTCTCAGGGAGCCGAGTGCCAGCCGGGGACCTGCGCATGTAGCAGGAGCACCCCACAGGATGGCTCCCCGAGTCATGGAAGCCCAGTCAGCAGACAGTGCCTGGCCCTCAGGCTGGCAGTATCGAGATGGTGGGACCAGTGAGAGGTGGCCTATGCGGGAGTCCTTTAGGCCATGGGCCATGGCCTTGGAGGGGATTAAGGTGGTTCTCCCAGAAGGGTGGTTCTAGTAGAGCAAGCCTGGTCCCTCTCCGCCTCTTTCTTCCTGTCTCACCAGTGATCCTGCTCTCTTGCCTTTGCCATGCCATCTGCCATGAAATCCTTTCCTAGGGCTGAGCCCTTACTGTGGCCATTCCTGCAAACACCCAGCACTGCAGGGTAAATAGACCTTCTATAGACTTTTATAAAGTACCCAGCCTCAAGTATTTCATTACAGTAATAGAAAACAGAATAATACACCCTCTAAAGACTTCCAGCTTGTCTCACTGAACAGCCACCAAACTCAAAGCTACTAGGCTTATCTGGGTTTTCAGCATGAGGGCTACAACTATGGGAGAGGAAGAAATCAGTGCTGAGGACATCGTCACAGCCTTGTAGCTTGGCTGTGGCCTCACACACAGCACCCTGTTGGGCTCAGCTTTCTTCATCCAAGCAGAAAGCTGGGACAGGAGGTAGTTTTGGGATGTGCATCCGATATGTAACATGTGTGCGAACAGAGATGGGGAAGGGCTGTGGAAAAAGTGTCCCGAGATGGGCTGTGAGGCGCACAAGCAGAGAACAGAGTCCCCTGGGCTGGGAAGCCTGAATACAGGCTCGAGGAGCTGAGCTCACCCTGTAGGTGTGGCTACTTCCTTAGCAGGTGATGAATGGCCCTGAATGCACTTTGGGCTAATTTCTGCTGCTGCCATCCTGAATACCTCATAATTCTACCTTCAAATACATGCTATGTAAGAGAAGTCCATGAATCGCTCCCTAGGCCTTCAGCTGACTTTTTTTTTTTTTTTTTTTTTTTTTTTTTTTTTTGTGGTATCGGGGATCAAACTCAGGCTCTTGTGCTTACAAGACAGGCGCTTATGCCACTGAGCTAGCTCCCGGGCCCAACCTGTGGCTGACTTGCATTCCACCTTGTGATTTGTATCTAGATGTCCCCCCAAGGCTCATGTGCTTATTGGTGGAGCTTCTGGGAGGTGGCTGAACCCTGGATGTGTGAGATACTAGATTAGTCCACTGTTGGGTTCAGCATAATTCCAGGTGTGGGTTGTGGACTTGCCAAAGAGGAAAACCCCACTCTGGATGCAGATGGCAACAACCAATAGGCTAGCAGCTTGGACAAAGTAAAAGGGTAAGAAGGCGGGCTCACCACTTCCTGCTTACCCTGCCATGGACTGTTCGTCCTCTGCTATGATTCACCACCTTGGAGCCAGCTAACAACAGACTGAAACCTCTACAAACTGTGAGCCAAGATAAATCTTTTTTTCTTTAACTTGTATGTGTCAGATATTTTGTCCCAGCAATGAGGAAGTGACCGAGACACATCTCCTGAGGACTGTTTCTCCACTGTCTCTTCCTCAGCCTGTGACTTCTAACCCCTCTTCCTCTGGGGTGCTGTAGATTGCTGTCACTGACCACGGGTGCAATGAGCAGGGCCAAGTGCTCAATGAGGCTCCCCAGCTTGGGAAAGCTTTGATTTCAGGGACCAGCAGAGTGAAGCTTCCAAAGATTGACTTCTGGGGATGTCATGACGTGCCACACTCATCACCGGAGGGAAAGACGGGGAAGGGAGAGCTAAGAGTTGACTAAACACAAAAATGTAAGCTATCAAAAATTATCCCAAGTGGAATAAAACAAAAGGCAAACAATAAAATTGGGAAACTGTTTCCCATACATGTGACAGGCAAAAATCAACCTATGTGAATAGGAAGACTCTTCAGATCAACAGGAAAAAGGCTAAAATAGAATAAATGTTCTACTTTAAGAAGATCAAAGCAGAAAGTGGGGTTGGAATGGGTCATTTACTAAAATATCTCAGGTTTAGATATGCATATATTTGAAATGCAAAGCCATCACCATCCAATAAATTCAACTTATCACTTCGAAAAAGTCCTGGTTATAACTACCAAATTGCCACAGCTACCAAGGACTTGCCGCTGTGGGGAGGGGAGACAGACCTCTCAAGGAGCACGAATAGAGTGGCCAGAGCAGAAAGCCTCCCACGTGACCCGCTGACCAGGGTTTCCACTTTTAGGACTTCAGTTTAAGGAGATAATTAAAGATGAGTGACAGTGTGACGCAGCTGGTGGCGTATTTGACCTCTGCAAGGGAATGAGCCTTGCTACGTGAACATGTCATAGAAATAGCAAGCGGAGTAAGTCACAGAGTGAGATGCTGTGCCGTCATTAAAGTGAAGCAGTGGACAGGACTTGCTGGGAGGAGTCACGGACAGACCTATAGGAATCTGCTCCAAGTTCATAGCATAAATAATATATCCTGGGTGTTAAATATAGACTATTTTAATAAATTAAAAGTGCTATTTTTCCGGATTGCAGGAGGAGACGCCGGAGACAAGCTGGGAGGAAATGACTTGGTGGGGTTTAAACACTGGGGGCTCCCGGAGCTCGTGGGGTAAATGCGGCAACGTTCGAAGGGTGTCTGAGACAAAGGGGTCAGATGACCGATTCTTTTCCCTGTGAAAAGGGGGGCTACATATCTTGCTGTTGATGAGGGAGCAGTAACTGCAGTGGGTTCTCATTGTCCTCAGAACCACATCCAGTCCCTCTCTACACCAAGAAGGCAGAGGACTTTGTCCACCTATGCATGGCTCAGACAAGCCCCGCCCCTGGACCGGCAAGGCCCCACCCACCCTAGGCCCCGCCCACCAAGCCCCACCTATCCCGAGGGCCTGCCCATCCCGAGGTCCCACCATCCCCAGGGCCCATCCCCACAAAGGCCCCGCCCCCCGTGACTCCCGCCATGAGCCCCAGCCCCACTCACGATGTTCATGAGAGTCAGCAGGTACTTCTGTACATGCTCCTTTCCATGGAACTGGACCACAGAGTCGTCCACACCCAGCAGCACCTCGATGTTGTAATCGTCGTCGGCCGTATGCCTGCGCACCCTCGGGCGGGAGCTGTTCACTCGCTCCTCCAGGACTCCCAGGGCCCGGCTGAGGCTGTCCAGGCTGTCCGCGGAGGTCCCTGGAGGAAGAGGACCAGGTCAGCAGCAGGTCAGGGTCCCCGCTTCTTGTGGCTCCGCAAGAGCCCACCTGGTACAACCCAGGACGGCTGTGATCCAGCATTCAAAAGACACGAACTAGAGAGGGGTGTTCACACTGGGCGAGAGGGAAAGCCAGTGCAACTGCTGCGGAAACCAGCATGGACAGTCCTCAGAAAACTAAATCTGGAAATCCCACTTGACCAACTGATGCCCCCTCCCTGCCCCCGGGTATCTTCCCCAGGTCTTCCTGTCACAGTGCCCACGCACATGGCGCCTGCGGCCAGGTGGTGCATTGTGCACACAGCCGAGAGGCCCACATGTGGATGAAGGGCAGTGTGGATCTGGTACCCACACACACCAGGGTTCTAGCAGCCATGAAGGACAAACGAGTAGTGTGTAGGAAAACGCGTGGATCTGGAGATCCAAATAAATCAGACATAGTGGGGCTGGGGAGATATCTCAGGATAATAAGCTCTTGCCTGGCAAGCGCAAGGGCCTGAGTTCAATCCCCGGTTCCACAGTAAATAAATAAATAAATCAGACACATGTGGTTAAATATCACATGGTTTTCTCATATGAGAAATCCAAAATATCAACAATTTAAAGAACAGGACAAAGGAGAGCTCATAGGGGACCGGGAACAGACTTTCTGGAGCTGGGGAAGGGCTTGCAGGAGAGGAGGAGGGAGGAAGGTAGGGGCAGAAGTGACCAGGAGCCAGTGTATGCGGCGATGCCCAAACACAGGAGTGTCTGTGTCACACCAATGGGAGTCGCTGGTGAAAACCCAGAATGCCCTGGGGGAGGACAGTGCTGTCCCCCTCACAAGACAGAGTTCCAGAGTGGGCAGTGTCAGCCGTGCCAGCTCAGACTCCGCAGCGCTCAGTCAGCAATGCTGGGGCCACCCTGCTTCCAGCAGGGCCACGCGTGCTCCTGAACCTAGGAGACTCCACCAGCATGATCATGGCCACTAGGGAGCCAGGAAGGCACCCAGCATGAGCAGGGGTCCTGCATGCCCCCTGGTCCTCCCTGGGAAAATGCTCCCACCCTAGTCACTAGAGTCTCTGTGCCGCCTTGGCTGGCCCTGCCCCTCATCCCGTTCAGACCTGTACTTCAGTCACTGCTTGCTTCCCTGACCCAGGACCTCTAGGGCTCTGGGCCTACTGACTTGGGGAGCTGTGCCCACCCCCACCCCCACCTCCACTGAAGAACTGTGCAGGGCTCAACATGACCACCTCAGGCTGGCTCCCCCAAGCTCTGGAACCCACCTGCCCCTGGGGTGGCTCCTGGCCAGGGGAGCAACTGTCCTGGGGAGTGGACCCTGCAGGGCTCCACCCTACCCCTGGGGTGGCACGTCACCAACTGCACAGCTGTGGAATGTCCCTAGCACATGTATCACCCAGGCAGATGACAAGCACTCATGCTGGGTTCCACCGTCTGCTCAGACCAGGAAGACTGACTGTCAGGGTAAAGGTTCATGCCGGCAATGTGGCTGCGGGTGAGGCCAAAGCAGGAGGTGAGAAGCAGGTAAGGCCTTTGACCAAGACAGGGAGCAAGCTGGGGCCAGGCCCAAGCAGCTGCTAGGATCACTGTACCTTCTGGAGTACACATACACACACACACACACACACACACACACACACGCCCACTGCAGGCAATGCACACACATATGCACGTGCATAGCAGGAGCCCCAGATTCCGTGGGGCAGCGCTGGCTGGCAGGCAGTGGCCGGCAGAGCTGTGTGCTGTGCTCAGCTGCCTGGCCCCGATTCAAGGCTTCCCTGCTGCTCCCAGAGGAGGCGCTGGGGACTTGGAGCCGACAGAAGAGTTGAGGAATTGCTACTCTATTTTTATACATTTATTTCTTTGCATTTCCAACAAGCAGGGACAGCTCACCTTCAGAACCACCTTGGGAAAAGAAAGATGGTAATTTCCATAGAAAAACCCTCTCTGGAGAAGAGGCTGGACACTCCCTTCTGTCTCTGTCAAGCACAGGGTCACACACAGGCAGCTCCCTTGGGGCCAGAGCAGACTGTAGAGGGCTCATTAGGGCACTCGGCATTTTAGAAACACATTATGTGGTGGAGAAGACTTGATAATTGGGAAAGTTCTTGTTAAAAGCCATTTAGAAGATCCTGTTGCTCTTGAGGAATTGGGAGAGAGACCCTCCCAGGGGCAATCCAGAGGTGTGAAATGAGGGTCACACCTAGACAGAGAGCACGCATGGTCCAGGCCTCCAGGCCATAGCACGCTGCACTCAATGCCCTCCTGCCCCAGCAGCCCCTCCAGGATGGCCCCCGGGAGCCTGTGGGCCAAGGCGGGCCAAGGCAGGTCCAGGGCAGGTCTTGGGCTGCTCTGCCAAGCAGGCAGCACTAGCAAAAGTGAATGGTACAGTCCACTCAAGACAGAAAAGTTTCCAAAGACTTTAGAAACACCAGTTTCACCTCCAGCATAGTTATCATCACAGCCGTCCTTCTTCTCAGCTTGATCACTCAGAGGCTTGTGTGTTCTAGAACATTGTGTTCTAGAACGCTCCCAGCCCTGAGGCCTAGCTCCTGCAGAGAAGCCTCAAAACCCAAGGACAATGCAGGGGAAGACAGAAAGGGCTGGGGGGGGGGTTCCACCGGAAGGTGACTGCACCTAGCCACCCAGCTCTAGTGAGCTTCAGTCTTACACAGGACATAGGGAGCAGCCCCAAGGTCAGGAGGGGTTGGCTGGGCCCCCGGGCCTGGGGCCACGAGAACCTTAGCCCAGCTTCCTTGCTGCCTGTCTCTCTCTGCTGCACTAGGACTAGACAGCCAGGCTGAGGTGTCTCCTCATCGGTCATGGGAGCCACGGTGAGCTTGACATGACGCCCGGGCCTACCCTGATCGCAGCAGGCCCGTGTCCTAGGGGTGTCCCCGGTGCAGGGAGCGCCTGCGTGGTCCAGGCTTGGCTTCCAGGTGGGCCACTTGATGTTGGCCGCGGCCTCCAGAGCCGGCCCGTGCCTGCTAGTTCCTTCCACGGGCCCTTCCAGGGTCTTTGCCCCTCTCCACTCCGCCCTGGGAGCCCCCGTAAGCTCGCCACGGGGACCCAGAGCTCATGGGCCTCAGGCCTGTCCCATGATAGCCCCTACCACAGGTGGGGTAGCAGGCTGTCAGCGCTGCCCGCCCTCTGCCAGGACGGTCGCTGCTGCCCGGCTCACTTCCCCGCGTACACGGCCATCAGCGGTCCCTCAGCTGGGGGGCGGTGAGCAGTAGAACAAGAGAAGACCAAGACCCTAGCAACCACATATGCTGGGCTGAGACTCCCTGAGGGGAAGGGTCTGTCCTAGGGTCCTTTTGCAAGTGCAGCCAGGGAGGTGCGCAGCCCCGCGAGGACCCTGCTAGAAAGGTGGCGGCTGCAAAGCTTTCCCCTCAGGTGCTGGGCGAGGAAGCAACCCCGGGAAGTGACTCCAAGGACCAAGGCCAGTCCTGGAGTCTCTAGATCAGAGACAAAAGGCTCTGTCAAAGAGCCAATAACAGACCAGAGAGCTAAGACGATGGGAAACGCAGACTCCTGTCCAGAGCAGCCCAGAGCCTCGGGCCAGTCCAGCGGCCGCGCGCTTCTCCGGGCCTCGCCGCAAAGGGCGCCACCTGCCGGCGTCCTGCGCGGCTGCCCGACTCCGGAGCCTGGGGCAGGGATGCTGCGGTCTGGAGGTGGTTTGTCCCCCAAAAGCGTGGGGGTGGGGGCCTGGTCCTCAGCAGAAGGCCCCTGCGATGTGGGAAGCGCAAGCGCTGGGAAGGCAGCTCCCGCGCTCTGCCCTCACAGCGGTTAGCGCTTCCTCCCAGACCCGCAGACGGCACCCACTCCTGAGAGTGAATCTTTGTGAGCATGGTAACAGACTCTCTCCTGTGCCTTGTTCCCCTTCCCGCCAGGTAGCCTCTTCTTCCTGTCTGTGCCCTGCCATCGCGATGCCACCTGCCATGTCATGACATGGCCAGAGGCCCTTGCCCAGATGGCCACATGTGCTGTTCGAGCTTTCCAGCCACCGTGATGGTGAGCGAAGTGAACCTCTTTTCTTTATACACCATTTGGCCTCCGGTACTTTGTTATAACAACACAAAATGTACTAAAGCAGGCAGCGAAGAATCAGAGGAGGGGAGACTAAGTGACACTGTCAAAGCACATCGCCAGAGAGGAGGAGCCAGGACCTGAGTACAGGCCAGGATCCAGTGCTTTTTTCCCCCAAAGAGTAATGATATTTATTTGGAAGTAGCAGGACACTGCAGTGAGACTCTCCACACCATAGTCAACTGTGTCGTTCCTGTCATTAATGCGGCCCAGAACAGCCACTGCACATTACCAACGTGCGCGCTGCTTTAAGGAAAGCAGAGCTGGTAGAAGCATGCACGTGTAGCCGGAGAAGCCAAGGCCTAGACTGTAACTCAGAAGTGCCACGCGGAAGTGCTGCCCCACTGTGCCAAAGGCTCCTGGGTGTCTCCTGGACCCTGTGCAGAGGCCATGTGCCGCCTCTGCCGGGCTGGCCTCTTGACCAGGAGTGCCCTTGCTGCTGCTGCTGCTGCTGCTGCTGCTGCTGCTGCTGCTGCTGCTGCTGCTGCTGCATCTTCCCCAAGTCAGCCCCCAGGAAGGCCCTGGACCCCTGGAGGCCCATAAGAAAATCAGTCCACGTTCCCCAGTGCTGGACGTATGCTTGCTTTGGGCCCACAACTGCCGCAGGACAGGGATGTGTTTGATCCTTGCTGCATTTTGATCTCACACATCCTCAGAGCCTAGCCGGCAGCCTGTGGCACTGCTGGAAGAGATGGAATCTCAGAAGTTGCGGCCTGGTGGGAGGGATCGGTCCTTGGGAGCAAGGCTTTGCGGAGTCGTGGGGATCCTGCCTCACCCCTGTCCCTCCAGGGAAGGCTCCTCCTTCTCTCTCCTTGCTTTCCATTTCTTCCCCACCACAGGCTCCCACCATGATGTGCTGGGTGGGCCCCATGGGCTCAAAGCAACAGAGCCA